GGAGATTCTACCGAGTTTATATACCTTTCTACATAAATTAAATATGATCGCGATCGGTTACTGTATCCAGCATTTAAGGAACATTAATGCTGATGCTCCTAGTCCCTATGTGTTATCACCACAGCATCTAGGGGTCACCAAGGAGTCATGAGCATAAAGGAGTCGACAGGTGGCACCCAGGAGACACCTGTCGCCATTCAGGAGTGTAGTCGTCTGGCAGGGATATCAGGAGTGAATATCCACCAACATAAAGGAGTGTAGTCATGACCCATTGGATATGGTCATCGGCACAAAGGAGGTCCGGGTTGCTAGCGCACAGAACCCGGGTTGCATGTGTATGGTGTCATGCCATCATCGTATAGAGTCCCAGGTTACTGCAATAAGAACCCGGGTGGTAAAGTGGTGAGGAATCCATGTCTGCATGGATTCCAAATAAAGGTCCAAGGGATGTTCATGTCCCTGAGGGTCGAGTGAGTGTTGTGGGCCAGGGAATAACCCGATCAAGGACGGGTTATTCCCAAAAAGGAATGTGGTAGAACCCGAAAAAAGATATCTGCGATGCTGAGTCAGGGTGATTCATGACATCCAACTGGCGCATGGCTGCGCTCGCCGCGCTCTACGCGATACAGCAGGGCTCGTCTATGTTCGCCAAATTTGCCGACTCTCTCCAGAACGCGCGAAATGCCCTTGCCAGCGCTGGTGTTGGGTACACGATCAGCGACTCCATCCTCAAGAATCATCTTCTTTTCCACTCCCACCCCCATCCTCCGCCTTCGTGTCTCTGGCATGAACGAGCTCCCCTTTGCAACAATGAAAGTCGACAACCTCATTGCTACCATGTCCTCGACGTGGGACAGCCTGATTGCCGAGGGCGTTGTCAAGCTCCCGAGGACTGCCGCTCCCGCGCCTCTGGTGATCCCTTCTGCTCCCGCTGTACCATCCCAGTCGCTACCCACGCCTGCCTCCGCATCCCCTGCATTTGTGCCATTGTCCCATGCTGAGAAGGAGGCCCTCCGCACTGCAAATGGCTGCTACCACTGCCATAAGACGCCGCAGACGCCGGGCTGGGTCAAACACCGCAGCGACAACTGCCCCGGTGATGCTGCGCTCGGTATTCCACCTCGCTTGGCACCTGCAGTCGTCGCAGCAGTAGGACCCGCTGGTTTCTCGTCGATGTATGAAGAAGGTTATGTGCCGGTGGCGGCTGTGATGCCGCCGTACGACCCCGATGAAGACAGCTATGACTACTCCGATGGCACTGACGATCTTTCGCGCGAAGGCTGATCTTTTGGTCCATTAGCATAGCCCCATCCCTTTAATCTTCTTTCTTCTTTCTGGCCGCTCTCCCCATCCTTCCCTGTGCGCGCTCGGTCATGACCCCATCGGCGCACCTGTTTCCCTTCAGTGGGTTCCTGTTCGTCCTGGGAGCGTCGGACGGTCCTGTCGGACTTGGTAGCATGGGCACTTTTTGGTACTTCACAATTTTTTGGACAATGGTCTGTGTTCTAAAGACGGGGAGGGTGTAAACCCGCCGGTTCACATCACATCATTACTTTACATAATCCTTAGTTTTACCTCTTGTCGTCTTCCCTCTTGTTGTAGTCCTCGCGCTCGCTCACTGAATAAACCGTGGTCTTGTTGACTTCGGCGTGAGTCTGGTTTTAGTGTTTCCTGTTTGGCCGACAGGTTTCCACCATCTCACAAACTAATGAAACACCAGTTAACATTCCTTCTTGTGGGCACCCAGACACCCATTGAGTGACTGTGGGGGCCCATCCAATAACCGGACACACCATATGAGTGGCCATTTCCATGACTTTGGCAAGGAGCTTGGTGTCACCGACCCCAAGAGCCTTAAGGACATATACAAGACACATCTTGAAAATTGTATGTGTTACACCTTTCTTTCGCCTCTGCTACTCACAGCTGCACAGAACTGAATGCTCTGGCAAACATCAACTCTGTGCTGCAGTGCATGGCTTTGGGTCTTGGACTGCTCTATCTTGGTAAGATGTGCGGTGTCCATGCTAACTATTGTGCTCATCCCACTTTGCGGTGTAGGCTTGCAAGATGCATGGGACACAACCATTGAGACATTCAAGGCGATTGAGCACCCGATCTCGAAAATTGTGCAGATCATTGTCGAGGTGTGCATGTTCGCAGCACAGGCAATGTCATTCTCCTACTAGCTCTTGTAGATGCACTACAGTGAACCTGTTATCTGGAAATTTATACTGCTGGCCATTGACCTCGTCAGCATCTCCAACCCCCCAACTACCCATCCTCAACCTCAACACCCCTGTCAAAGTACAGCCACAATAATAACAACCTGGCTGTTGCTCTCAGCGCTATCTTTGTCATGGAGCTCGTCAGTGCATAAAACAATGTGCGGCTGGTACAAATACTACAACAGCTTGCAGGATGCTCCAAAGAGCCCAACTGTCTCTTTATAGTACACATTGCACAGGAGCTTGTGCATATAGACAAAGGCACACTCTTCTTCTCCAACGGGAGCATCATGAGCCAGCCAGCAAATGCTGGCTTCTTGCCAACATTGATGGCCTCCACTGATGCCAAGCACTGCAAGTGTCCCCAATTCGTAACTGTTCCTGAGCTGACTTTGTTGCAGATGATAGTCATCCTCAACAAATACCACCGGAATGTACCTCCGCTTTTTGATCACTGTCAATGGGGAGCTGAACAACAGCACAATTGCTGTGCACATCGGACAGGTAAGCAGACTATTTGGCATCTTTGTTATGCAATCATCCTCAGATTTTGGCAGGCGCTCAATGTAGTGGGACAGGCTGGAAAGCCGCGAACAATCTCAGGGCTCCAGATGCATCAGATGCCCATGTGGCTGGCATTGACCAAGCAGGCCGAAATTGTGACAGACAGAGCTACCCCGCCAGCTTCTATCTTGCAGGGTCCATGCATTCTTTCTTTGCAGCACAATGTCTGAGTGGGATTCTGCAGTAGCACATTGTGGTATGTATTAGTAGCACAGTCTATTGAATGTTCTTCTATCCCAATTTGGCTGCAATACCTCCTCCTTGCCCGCTTCCAGGGCAGGCACTGGTGTCAGCGCATCTGCCTCTGTCTCATGGAATGTGTATTTGTCTCTGAGCTCAGCAGCAAGGTGGCAGATGTATTTGTGCCCCCAAGTACCGGGGTCAGCGAGTGGGGACCCGGCTGGTCAGAGAGACATGGACAAAAGACAATAATGGAGAGTTCCATGGGGTTGGGTCAAGAGGACCCGCAGACCAGCCAAGCACCACCAAACTTTGGGCCAGATTCCGAAAGTCCGAAAGTCTGAACAGTGAGCTCAGAGCACCAAGCACCCAACGCAATGCTGCTGTGGGGCGGGCCAGCCCTACCATCATGCTTGACAGTGGGCAGGCACTCCCGCTCACTGGATGGGACAGCACCGGTTCATCAGTTCCTGATCTCAGTCTATATATGAACAACTTCAGACAATATGTAATGTCAGTTTCATGTCATACTATGAAGTTTTCACATCTCATACTATATTGTGACTCACATTTTATACACAACCAGTCCACACATTATATATGAACTTTTCACATCTCCCTCAACAGTAAGTGCAATTTGGCTTTTGAACAACTTTATACAAGCTACATCTGATCTTATACTAGATTTTATTTATTTTACAAAAGGGACAGCATAACGGAGGCCACCTTCTGTTATTTATTGCCAAGGAGCCAAATTGCTGAAAGAGTTGGAGGTTCAAATCCTCCCAGTGGCATGTTTGCACATAATTTCATACAGTGTTTTATTTTTGTAGTTGTATCTGTGTACCTTCACCCTTGTCCCCCAAAAATCCAATCACAAAACCAAAACCCCAGCTTCGGGGACAGAGAAATCAGAGGCCGCTCCCATCCAGTATTGCCCACATCTGAGCCAGAGGTTCAATTTGGGCTTTCTGCTCACTCCTTTTCTTTTGAATTGTCTGGTTCCAAGTATTTAATTAAATTGTCATTGGAATCAAATGGCATTTGGTCCTAAGGTGATTGTAGCCACAGTGGCTTCCTCTATCCCATATATTTTCATCCCTTTCACAACTGAGAGTGTTGGAGGTTCAATTCCTCCCAACAGCATAAGAGATGAGGGAGATCTTTTTTTCTGGCCACTCATTTGGATGCTAATTCTTCCTGGTATGGTGCACCATATTCAATTGCTGCTGGTTGAGAACCAAGAAATTGCTACAGGTGAAGAAATGGGAAAAAAGGGAACTGAATCCAGCACACAAAAACTCTGGAAACTACAATAGAATGCATTTAAGAGGAATCAAACCCCTGGTGGGTTGAGAGTGCAGGCCTTTTACTTTATGGCAACGACCCAGAACCATAATGCTATGCTCATCAATTCCTCACAGAATACACATGGGTGTGGAGGGAACCAAATTTGAGATAAAAAAGAGAAAAAGCAGAGGTGGGGAGGGAATGTGGGAACTGTGAGCAGCAAAAAAGATAGCGATAGAGGCAAATGCATTAAGGGGGAATCGAACCCCCGGTGGGTTGAGCATGGAACCTAGTAGTGTATGGCAACGACCCAGATTACCACTACCCCATTAATGCTACTGCAGTTCTGGCGGTCTCCTGGTACAGTAATGAAAATACACATGGGCGGAGAAAGAGGAAATAAAGACCTTGGGGTCAAAAACAATACCTGAGGCGGCAAGGGGAATGTTGGGACTGGAAGCAGCAAAAACAAAATGATCCAAATTGAATGCATTAAGGGGGAATCGAACCCCGGCGGGTCGAACATTGATGCTTTGGTTCCACCAGATGGCAACGACCCAGGTTACCACTAACCCATTAATGCTACTAGATTGGTGGGGGTCTTGTGGTACAGTAAAGAGAATACACATAGGCGCAGAAGGAGGGAATAAATATCTTGGGGTCAAACGACACCTGAGGCGGCAAAGGGGAATGAATATTGGGACTGGCAGCAGCAAAAACGAAACTATCCAAATTGTATGCATTAAGGGGGAATCGAACCCCCGGCGGGGTCGAGCATAGAATTCCCTATCGCAGAGATGGCAACGACCCAGGTTACCACTACCCCATTAATGCTACACAGTTCTCGGGTCTCGTGGCATAGTAATGAAAATACAGGTGGGCGCAGAAAGAAGAAAATAAATACCTGGGGACCAAAAGAACACCTGAGGCGGCAAAAGAGAATGTTGGGACTGTCAGCAACAAAAACTATTGCACTATTGTCATGCATTAAGGGGGAATCGAACCCCCGGCGGGTCGAGAGATTTCACGCAGTACTCTTAAATGGCAACGACCCAGGTTACCACTACCCCATTAATGCTACTGCAGGCTTGGCGGTCTCTTGGTATACTAATGAGAATACACATAGGCACAGAAAGAGGACCTTGGATTCCTCCAAGTCAAAACAACACCTGAGGCGGCAAAGGGGAATTTGAATGTTGGGACTAGCAGCAGCAAAAAAGAAATGTGGAACAACCCATGCATTAAGGGGGAATCGAACCCCCGGCGGGTCGAAGATCGTCTATGGATCGACATCGACATGGCAACGACCCAGGTTACCACTACCCCATTAATGCGACGGCAAGGAGTCGAAGGGACCTTCCTACCTCTGGTCGTGGAAAGGTTGGAAGAGAAAGAAAATTTGCATTGCTCGGACTGAGAGGCGGCGGATGAAAAGAAGAGGCGATAATGACGACTTGTCAAAGAGACAGAAAGAGAGACCAGATGAAGTGATTGAAAGTTGAATAGGCCAGGTGTGGTGGTGGCTTGAAAGGTGAATAGGCCAGGTCTGGTAGCATAGGATGGCGAGGGTTACAAACAGAAGAGAAGACTCAAAACGAGTCGACAGGCTTACATACGGAGATGATAGCGCATCTGAAATAGGTGGGCGTGCCGACTTGTGGCGGACAGACGTTTCATAATTTTCAGCGCCGGAGGGTTAATTGGATAGCAGATAGCGCTCAACCGGCGGAAGGGCTTTGACCTAGGACACCGTCGACCAGAGACAGAGACAGAGTAGGTTGCTCGGTTGAACACACGAGGAGAAGAACATGAGAGGTGGCCAAGGCACAGAATGAATTAAAAATGAATGACATGATAACAATCGCACTGAAATTCCAAGTGAGACACGAGGACCCAAGCGGACGCGGGTATGAATACGACAACCGACCGAGTCTCAGTCAAGATAGAGCAATGCTGAGCAATGGTTCAACTTCAAGTGTCAGTGACGTCTTGTGAATGTGGTGGCCGGTTTGTATTGTGATCGCCGAAAATTGTACTCTGCCCGCCGCCATTGCCTGGATGGACCGCCCGCTCGGCCCCCGCCAGCCGCCCGAGCGCAACGGCCGCCTACGAGGACATCTTCGGCCGCCGCCCCGCCCCCCGCTCCGCCCCGCCATACCCCCAAGCATACCCCCAGCAGCCCCAGCCGCCATACCAACAGCAACAGATCCAGCACAGGCCGCCCATATACCACCCCCAGCAACACCCCTACCCACAGGCCTATCCCCAGCAGCCGCCGGGCTACTACGGCGGCGGCGGCCCGCCCTCCCTGCGCGCGCCGTCCCTCCGCCCCGCGTACCACCCCGGCGTCCCCGCGCCCCCGCCGGACCGCCCGCTCGACGGCCAGGGCCTCACCCCCGCGCAGGCGTACCAGGCGCAGGTCGCCCACGGCGCACAGTGGCAGCAGCAGCGCAGCCACAGCCCTGCGCCGCCGCACGCACATCAGCCGACGGCGCAGCAGGGGCCGCCGGCGCTGAGCATGGCGATAGGCGGCGACGGCGGCAGGCTGGGGATCAGCTTCGACTCGTACGAGAGCCCCGCGAGCCCCACTAATCACTCGCACCCCCCGAATGGAAACGGAAATGGGAATGGGAATGGTGGAGCGGGAGGAGAGGGAGGGGAGGAAGACGACGAGGAGAGCGAGCTGCCGTGGGCCAGACGTGAGTCGTCGTGTTCGTTCTTGTCTTTACTTCTTGGACTGGGAGCGGGGGCATCATCCGCATCGATTGCGGGCCGCTCCCCGATACGACCGGATACGCGCTCGCTTCCCCTCCCGCGAGGCGAGCCGAGGCGAAAAGATGAGTCGACGTCGACCTACGGCGGGCCCGCGACACACCACGCGCCGAGCACGAGCAAGTAGACCGTGACGCTGCTGTCTTGCTTTCGTGCAGTCTGTCGCGGCGATACATTTCTCGTTCCTCGTTCCTCATTCCCTTCCCTTATACGATACTGACTACACCTTCCCCCCGTCTATATATATAGCACCACAACGTGAGTGTCCACCCTTCCGTCTGCTTTTGCGTCTTGGCTTTTCGGTGTTGCCCTCGTGGCGAGACGCGGCTGTGCATATCTACCGCCCATCCTGGCACTTGTCGGATCGACGAGCTGGGTGGGGCGGCGCACCTGCGCGCACGGCCCTCGTATCTACGCGCTGCGCCAACGTGGTGTGATGAGATGTGGCGCGGTGCGCGGGCCGCAGACGTCTTGCGCCGTCCAGGCCTGCAGATACCCTCCCGTGCACGCCCTGCGGTCGAGATGGCATCCTTACGAGGTCGCGCAGGGCCAGGGCTGGGAAGACCTCCCCTCCCATATCGGGCTTCATGTCGTCCCGCACACGTTCGTGGGGAGATGAGTACGCGCGCGGGTCGCTCTCGCCCATCTTTCGTCTTTTATCTTCTTTCTCTGCGTTCTCCCTCTGGTTGGACCCGTGCTGACTTGTACCTTGTGCTTTCTGCGCACAGAGTTACAACGTGCGTTTATTTCCGTTCCATTTCTTAAGGAATTTCTTCTTCCTCTTCCGATGCGTTGTTATGTGCGAGTCCAACGGCCGACCGCCGTACGATCGGGCAGCGTACGGTCCAGGCTGCGTGCGCATCCGCTGTCCCGTCTATTAAGTAGCGCGGGTCACACTGGGCTTAGAGCGGGTGCAGCGCCTTTTCGGTGGGCGCTCGAACAGGGGTGCTGGTACGCGACCTCTTGGTCTGGGCGTCTAACGTGTTCGATGCACGGGCGGGACCGCTACAACTACTGCATATCCGGTCAGGAGGGAGGGATGGTGCGAGCGTGCAGCGTGCCGTACCTCGGGCTGTGTGGGCCTCTGGCCAGGCGTGCGGCGGGCTTGAGGCCTCCAGACCCAAACGTGGCGCGTTTCAGAAAAGGGCCATATGCATGCATACGCCGGAGGAGTGTATGGCGCCGTGGATGTGGATGTGCGGATGTGCTCGAGTTGGAGGTGGGGTGCTGTGCCGGATGTATGAGCATGTGAAATGCTAAATTGCGCATTGACGCCTCTCCGCTCCCTCCACCTATCTTGCTTTCTTCCCTTCCTCCCTTTACCCTCTCTTTCTCCCTCCCTCGGACCCGAGCTGACTTGATTTACTTTTGCGTTTCTATCTACAGAACTACAATGTGCGTTCTAATTCCTCTCTTTGCTGTTTTTGGTTTTATTTCGATTCCTATTTCGATCGGCCTTCTTCCCTTCCCCCCGCTTGCATGTTCCTTCTTGCGTTCTTTTCTTCCCACTTGGTGGGTCCTACCACGTTGTTTAGAGTTCCGGGTCCGGGGTATGGGGGAATTGGAGGGATTACCTCGGATTCGGGACTCGAATGCGATCTGTATCGGAGAAGCGCCTACTGTAGGCGCTGCCGGTTCTTTGGCACATTCGGGCCATGATGCCGCGTGCCCACCCTCCCGCGACACATCGCGGGATCTTGCCTCCCTACTTCCTCTTCTTTTCTTCTTCTTCTTTTGTCTTTGCCTCCGATTCCCCACTCCAATCCGCCTGTTTGTTCCTGGGTGTTTTTTTGGCCCGAGCCTGGGGATTTCGAGCCTGGCATCGTCTCTCCCGCACCTTTGCTCTCGCGCTCGTGCCCAATGCTGACGTTCTCGGCGATGTGGATCGCGGACTCGCGATGTGCGTGCGTGGACGGCATTTCTGTTCTGGGTTCGCGGGGCGTGCCGCGGTTATCTACGCGCGCTGCTATGTCTACGCGCTTGTAGATCCCGTTTATCGAGATGCGGGAATTGATATCAAATATCTCCGTTTCCGTCTCCGTGGCTGTATGACGATGTGGTGTCGTCGTGCGGTGTGCTGGCGGCGTTTTGTTGGTTTTGTGGCTGGACTATCATGGTGGGCGTGGGCACGCGGCTGGCTTGACTTGACTGGGCGTTGTGGATATCCTCATTCACTCTCTGCTTCTCTTCGATTAACATTCTACTTCATGTCGCTCACCGTTGCGCGTTCTAACACCATTGCAGCGCAATCGCAACCGCCATACGTCGCCTCGGCCGCGCAGTACGCACAGCGCTACCCACACGCCGCGCACCGCTTCTCAAGCGCATCGGACACGCCGCCCACGTCCATCCGCTCGTCCGTCGCCAGCTCGTCGACGAGCCCGACGAGCTTCGACCACGACGGGTATTCAGGGGCTAAGAACGGCTTCGGGCTGGCGCTTGCCCCGCACAACGCCTCCCTCGCCGGCACCTCCCCCGCGTCTGCCTCCCACTCCCCCGCCTCGATCGCCTCGCACTCTTCGCTCAACTCGCCCGCCACGGCATCTGCATCGCGCCGCTCCTCTGAAACGTCGCGCACCCTCCCGCGGCTCGCGGGCCCGCGGCGCGAGCGCACGGCGCAGGACCGCGCGATGAGCATGTCCGCCGTGAGCACGCCCAACTCGCCCACCGCGCCGACGCTCCCCCCCGGCGCGGCGACGCCGCACGCGCTGCAGCAGCACGCCAACTCGTCCTCCTCGACCGTCGCGCCGCGCCCCAAGCGCGCGCCGCAGCCGATCGTGTACCCCGCGCTGCTCTCGCGCGTGGCGGAGGCGTTCCAGACGCGCGTGCCGCGCGCGGACCGCGTGAAGGACGGGCTGACGTACCACGATGCGTTTGACGGGCGGGAGGCGGTCGACCGGATTGCGCATATTATCAAGACGACGGACCGCAATTTGGCGCTGCTCCTGGGGAGGGCGCTCGACGCGCAGAAGTTCTTCCATGATGTGACCTATGACCATCGGTTGCGGGATAGTGTGGTGGAGCTGTATCAGTTTCGGACGAAGCTGCCGAGTCCGTTTGGGAGCGGGGAGTTGGCGGTTGTGGGTGGGGGAGGGGCGAAGGTCAATGGGGATGCGGAGAACTTGCTCGGGGCGCCGGCGCCGGCGGGCGGGGTGAAGTCCCCAGATTCGATGGATGGGCCGGTGGGGCTGGACGCGGGGGTGGGGAAGGCGGCGGCGGAGGAGGACGAGGCGCCGTTGCCGAGCGGGGTGTTTCACGCTGCTGGCGGACTGCTACAGCCCGACGTGCAGTCGGGACCAGCTGTGTTATAGTATTGCGTGCCCGAGGCGGCTCGAGCAGCAGGCACGGCTGAATATGAAGCCGCAGCCTGGGTTGCGGAAGGTGCGTACTTATTCTTTATGACGAGGACGACCGGCACTAACGCGTCATGTAGGAGGCCTCCCGCGAGTCCCTCGGTGCTGATGAGCCTGACGCCGGCACCCTCTGGATCCACTCCGTCCCCGCCGAAATCGCCGCCAGCGTGTCCGACGCAGAGAAGAAGCGCCAGGAAGCGATCAACGAG